TGTAAATCAGTAAATTTAATCAATTTCACATGTAATTTAAAAAAAAAAAAGAAGTTATGTGAAATTAGAATGGCGACCCCGATTATAACACAAAATGGCGTCCAAAATGGCGGTCCCGATTATTTACCCAATTAGGGACGCTATATTTCAAGGAATTCATACTAATCGGCTTTTTAATAAAGTTGACGCCATGTAACAGTTGTTAAATATGCATTGTTATAATTTTTTATTGTTTACACGAACTATTTCATGAATAATTTAACAAACGTTTTTAAAATCACGTGACTCCTGCGAAGTCTACGATTGGTCAGCGACAGCGCGGATTATTTCAGAGACGATTTGAAAATTTGCTGTGATGAAAATTTCAAGAAGAAATCAGAGACTTATTAGTCGGTGAGTCTTTATTTCAGTTTAAATTTTGATGCTGCTTGTTGTAAATGCATTTATCCACTTAGAGAATGCATTAGAATATGAATATCAAGTGTAGATTTCGCGATATTCTAGGTATTTGTATCGTAGATTTCTGGTTTGTTTTGATTCAAGATGGCAGTGCTACACATGAAGTAAATGTACTTAAGCATAATCTCTTTCTTTAACATTATGTATCACAAGACTTTTGTAAAAAAAAAAAAAATGTAATTTAGAGTCTTTTCTTAAAATATAAAGATATGAAATGTGTCAATATCTGGGAACAGTTACTTACAGTAGCCTCTGCATGAGCATGACGATAATAACAAATGAAATCCAAATGAACTGTGTGAGATAAAATTATTGTAATAGGGTCTTTGAAATATAAGATAAAGATCTTTGTTTTAAAAGGGGGGGGGGTAAAAAAATTTTAATGAATCAAGCAAAATTTACAACCTTTATCCAGCATAATAAAACATAATAAATTTTATATTTATATAAGTTGTGCATAAATTTCTGATCATCTAATCCCCAAGCTCTCCACTTCCATACCTGGGGGGGGGGGGGGGGGGGGGGTAATATGAGACACATCATTTAATTCAGAGTGTAATGTTTCAATAATTCAAACATAGTGTGTGCATGTGTGTTGGTCAATATTAATGCCAGATAATTTCATGAACAAACATATTCTTTTTTTTTCAACAGAATACTTGTCTCCTGTGGTCATTTAAATTCCAAGCTGGAGGGAAATGCATTAAAACTATAACTTTATCAGTAAGTATAAGATCTAATCTGATTTTTGTAAAAAATGAGTAAATGTATAAGAATATAACAAGGCACTGCTCATCAAACTCCAATGCAAACTATAGGGATTTCATCTACTAAATATGCTTAAAAATATTTCAGCATAAAATGTAACTAAGTAAGTGAAGATAGGGACCTATATACTAGGTCCCTGGTGAAGAGCAACATAATAATAATTGAACTTTTTCAGAATTGAAAGAAAATGACATGAAACTGAAAGCAGAAATTGTGTAGCATATTCAAATGGAGGATCAGTGTTTTTAGAGTCCAGATGGAAACCGCAACTGTAAAGCAATGAAGACTAACAAGGTGTGCTGGTAGAAAATTCTGTGATGGATAGGAACTCTATAAAGATAATGAAGATTACATGAATTACAAGTGAACAATTCATGGGGGAAAAAATTGACATGAAATGGAGTATACTTTTGACTTTGTGTATTTAAATTAACTTATGTATATGCCTAAAAAGGTATGTCTATTTATTTCTTTTATTTTTTCTTATTAAGAAAGTTTAAAATATCATTATCTTGATATCATTAACCATATTAATCTAAATTAATTAAATGTTAGGGATTTGATTAATTAAATATTTGGGATTTTAGGTATAGATTGTATTTATAGAGATGACTTTTTAAAGAAGTGTTTTTCATATATTTTGATGTACTATCATGCAATAAATTTTTATTTTTTCCATAATTATTATTGTTTAAATCAATTTTTCTTTTACATAGGCCTGCCTCAAACGTGCCTATTTGATAGGTACATTATAGGCATACCTTAAGTATACTTTTGGCACAGACTCTTGAGTACCAAATTGGTAGGCATACTTTAGGTAGACTTGTAGGTACATTTTAGGTATACCTAAAGGGTACTCATCTGAATGTTTGAGGTGTGTACCAATATTGTGCTTTTTTGGTACCTAAACTGTAGGTATACTTTAGGTATACTTTTGGCACATTCTTGAATGTTTGAGATGTGTGCCAATATTGTGCTTTTTTGGTACCTAAACTGTAGGCATACTTTAGGTATACTTTTGGCACATTCTTGAAGGTACCTTTTAGGTATATTTATAGGCACATTGTAGGTATGCCTAGAAGTTACCTATCTGATCGTGTGCCAATATTGTGCATTTTTGATACCTAAAGTGTGCCTATTAATAAATATAGGTATACTTTAGGTATGCCTATTTTGTACCAATTTGCTACCTATACTTGAACAAGTGGTTCCAAACTTGCATACCTTAGGCATGCTTTTTTTGTACCTATTTTTACCCAAGATAGGCATGCCTAATCTGTACTTTTTTTTGGTATGGGCTCCCCCACCATTTGCAGAAAAATGGACTCCAGTGGAATCAAATAAGGGCATTTTGGGATTAAAAGATTGCATTAATCTTGATGGTTTTAGCCCCACCCCTCAGGTCCCAGGGGGGCAGAGGCCATGAATTTCATAACTTTTGTTCCCCTTCACCTATAGATGCTACATGCCAAAATTGTTTGAAATTGGTTCAGCCCTTTCAAAAAAGAAGTTAAAAATGTACAAATGTGAACACACGACACGTCGCACAACGATGGATGAAAAGAGATGGCAAATAAAAGATGTTTGAATGACTGCATGTCACTAAATTTTAGGGCCAATCTTGGTCTGTAATTTTGCAGGAATCCCAATTAAATAAACCTGTATTTTCCCAAAATGTATTGGAAGTTTTCCCAAAGAAAAGCTTCTTAAGTTTGTGATCAATATCAGTTTCTTTATTTCATGTTTCTCAAAAAATTAAGTGTTTTGTCAGCCATTTTGAATTCCTTCTTAATCAGATAATTCATACCACTATTGTTCTACATGTAAGTTATAAGAAAACTCATACTTTAATTATTCTTGAGTTGTTATTAATAATTATTTGTCTTTTTAAATTGCTTCTCATGTGACAAGGAGTTTTCTTGAAATCCCAATCAGGCCTAATTGACCTTGATCATTGAAATTCTAAATTATATCAGCCCAAGTCTCATCCCAAAGTACTGTCTAAAAAAGCCTTACTGCCAGGGATGGGGTAATCGTAATTGAGTAATCGTAATTGATTGTAATGATTACTTTTTTCAAGTAATCGACAGTAATCTGTAATCAAAGAGATTTTTGATTACTTGTAATCATAATTTAATCGATTACAGCTAAAATTTTTAATGTAATTATAATTACTTTTTCGATTACTTTCGATTATTTTATACATAAATGGATGTTATTTTGAAGAATTATTTCCAGTCAGTCACACATAAATATCAAATATAAACCACCTAGTGTAATGTTTGGATTTCCTAACTTTTATTATCAGAAGTTTAATTATGTTCTCAATAAAATTTGCATTATAGACCTACTGGTCTAGTATTAAATAATTCAGAAGTGTATTTCAACCAAATTATTAATAAAATATACAGATTTTTCTTCTGCATTTTACATTTGATCCACTGTCCTCTTGCTGCATGTCCTTTTTCATATTTCAGATGTTGAAAAACTGTCTTCGTTGTAATAGAAAATTATAAATAGCAAAAACAGATTTAAGTGCTGTATTAAATTTAAATAATTTGGTATATAATCTACATTGTACTCGAAAAAAAAGAAGATGGAAATACTTATTCATATCTGATTAAACAACTTCAAACTTGTGTTTAGTAACTTTAAAATTTGCAAAATCATTCTCATGTTTTCATTCAAAATTGTAAGGTTGCTTTTTTGTCAGTGAGAGGTTATATTAAGAGTCTGTATTTTTAAGAGAGGGAGAAAGTATCACTGTGTTTGCTTATCTTGGCTAATTAATTGACTGAGACATCCCTGATTTGCAGATAATGAGGTGTAAACTGTGAACTACCTAGTGTTTAACTTTCATTCCATTGAAGACAAACAATATTATAACAATTAATAGCTCTCAAAACACTTATTTCAACACAGAATGAAATTGTGCTATTAGTTTAATTACTTAAAGACACATTTTAATTTACATGTTTATTACTAAGAGTTCTGATTTACTTATTTTTTTGAAAAAGACACATACAGGAATGTTTAATGTGTACTGTTAACATATGGGCAGCCCAAATACTTCTAATGAAATAATTCACAATAAAATATAAGATAATTTTTGCAACAAGTCAATAAGTATGGAGGTTCAGATCCAAGGTTGAAAGGAATAATTAATTCTTTGGTACATTTTACTGTAGGAATCATGTCTCCACTTTCCATGGTATAGAATCCCTCATTTGGGCATTTAGTGAGAATGTTAGCCAGAATAAAACCTTAAAAGAAACTGCACTGAAACTGCAGGAACACATTCAAACTTCAGTGGATAACATCAAAATTTAAATATTGCTTTGATATTTGAAGGGAAAAAAACTTGGAAGTAATCGATTATTAATTGATTACATCTTCCAAAGTAATCGATTACAATCAATTACAGGACAAAAATGAGTGTAATCGATTAATAATCGATTACACTAAATTCCTCTAAGTAATCGATTACATTTTTCAGTAATCGTACCCATCCCTGCTTACTGCAGTAATTTTTACACTGACCTTGAGCTTGAATTTACCATTTTTGAATAATTTTTTGAAAATTACGAGAGAATTAACTTTCAATTTCGCTAGTGGTGATAAAAGTTCATTTGAACCCTACATAAGTAATATGTATCAAGTTGTATACCAGCTGATGACATATGCTTACATTCTATTGAAAGTAGAATTTCACATACGATTGTACCATTACATATACTGATATATCAGACTAGTTTCTGAATAGGAATTTTTACCTGGGACCTCAGCCAGTCTCCTGATCCTAGGTTCGTCCACACTGTTGACAATGTATACTCTAAAGGTACTGGTCAGTACTGCTATACCAGTCCCTTGGAAACTGCTGAATATTTTACAGTCTATCACCTTCACATCCTTTGCTTCCTATACAATTAATAGAAAACAAACTGAAAAGGAGTCTGTTATTAAGTGTTACAGACACTGAAATGTGCTACTACCCCCACGTAGCAAAAATGTACATGCTATCTACACAGTTTGCACAATACCCTTGCTTATTGTAACATGTAAGACCTTAGCGCTCCCCATGCGATCGTACTTGGTTTGCCCAAGTCTTACGAGGATGATAACGAATGCAAAATACAATGGAAACTTGCCTATTGTGTCAGGTATTAATATTTAAGGAATGTTTTTTAAGTTTTGTGTGAGTTATTGGTGTGTAAATCACACAGACTTGTCACGTACTAGGCATATTTCATGAAGTGTGTTAGCGCTTCATGAAAATATGCCTAGGTGCAAGTCTGTAAGATTTACACACCAATAATTTACACTAAACTTAAAATCATTCATTTATATTTACATTTTTCATGTCTAAAAGCATCAAAAATATACTCAATGTTTGATTTTCTGGCTGCCCTATATCATTATATTTTTACTTACGTCTATGTAGCCTCATTGTGAAGTCATATTAGTTTCTCTGTGTATATATATACACATGAATATACATCAATGGTATCCAAACCAATTTCACAGTTGGCTTACTAGAAAAACACAGCAAATGTAAATATATTCAGATATGTCTTTGTCATAAGCCTAGTGCTACAATTAAGTACACAAAGAGAAACCTCTAATGCCTGTATATTTACTTGAGGTGATGCCTGTTGGCTACACAAACAACTCAGCTGCTTGCCACTTGGTAACACTTAATTGGTACCAACATTTGCCTCTTGGGTATATAAACAACTTGGTAATACTTGTTACCAGCACTCACCACTTGGTTATACATCATGGCTATTTGCCACTTGTCACAAACTACATCATGTTCCCTAGCCATCCTGGCTCTCAGACTCTGTGATCATTTGGTCACTGATAAAGTGTAAAACAACTTTGAGCAGGCATTTACCAACTAGTATATCATCTCCATGATTTTATCTGACAAGAACTCATCAGTTATTAATCAGGACACCAAAATATACCCATACTCTTTGCATTGGCTATTTTGCTACAAAAATAATCTTTATGTCTATCTTTTATAATGTTTACAGTCAAGAATCCGACTTTGAGCATGCTTTCACCATTTAAACCAATCATTCTTTTTTATTTTGTTTCTATATATATATATATATATATATATATATATATATATATATATATATATATATTTGGGATGGCAATTTGTAATTTGTAACCGGTTAACCCGTTACTTGGTCAGAACGATGGTAATCGGTTAGAAAATCTGTAATCTGTTAGTCGGAAAAAATTAAAATATGTGTAAAATTCCTTAAAACTTGATCTACAATGTTTAAAAACCCTCTAAATATTGATAAGTTATGACGTTTTCACATTTAATTTGGCTGATTTGAAGGTAAATAATTAAGACTCTCAAGATTGAAATTGTTGGGGTAATTGGTCACTCTGTGCAGTGTTAATTGCTGTTTAAACACCATGTCATTACCCGGACTGTCCTAAATTTCTTTAATGATATTAATTAAATCTTTGAGTTCTTTTAAATGATTGCAATGTGTATCTTACCCCGTCCATCCTTCGCAGTTATCTGTCAAATTATATTTTTAAACAAAAATTGTAAATTAAGTGACAGTTCAGACTCAGTTTCTGTTTATGGTGACAATGCACAACAACCTTGTGTTGCAACATTATCAATTTATTTGATATCTAAGAGATGTTTAATGGTTTCCTTTTATTTTTTTTATTTTTTTTTTTTTTTTTGCCTTTCGAAATTGAAATAAAATATCATATAAAGCGTACTAATACAGAGGTGATGTATATTGAATATTACTAATGTATTTTCAGTTTTCTTGTGTATATACCTAGAGTTTACTTGAAAAAAATATAGTATCAGGAAAATGTGTATTTTGATAATTAACTGATTAATCTGTCAGACGTCTTGCAATTAACCGATTAGCAATTCAGCAAGATAATTCCTAAATATCCAACAACCTGTAAAGAGTATACCTGTATTTACATACATCCCTGTATTTACATGTAAGGCAGTAATAAACATCATATCTATTATACATATGTAACTCAATTAAATGTATATTTAAACAAGAATAAAGCATGTGTTTTATAAAATGCCAGCCTTCAGTGAATGCAAATATCACCCATGCTTGACCTCAACTTCAAAACAAACATCATTTGCAGACAAAGCTTAATTTATCTTAAAGTGACAAATAAAGATAAGCCTGGAAAATTTTCTGCCCCAGACAAGATAATTAATCCCTGGGGATTAATTGTACTGCTCTCTCATCCTTTTCTTCCAAGTTTACAATAAGAACTTTTTCAGTAATGATAGAATGAGTTTATTATTGGACTACCTGTTAAAATTAATAGTATTCTTGAATTTACATAAGGCAGCAAAAAAAAAACAAGACGCCTGGGGGCCACATCGCTCACCTGAGCATGTGGCTAGGAAAAAAGAAAAATCAGTTTAGTGTTGAAAAGCTTAAATGCATAAGTGGTCCCAACCTACCCCTAAAAGGGAGTGGGGGTATGATTTGAACAAAATCAAATCTACACTTACTAAGGATGCTTACATAATTTTTTGACTGTGACATTTTTCTCTACGATTTGAACAAACTTGAATCTACACTATCTGAGGATGCTTCCATACAAATATGACAAACAGAGGCTTTGCTGTTCTTGAGATGATTTTTGAAGATTTTTCCTATATATTCTTATGTAAAACTTTGATCATTCATTGTGGCCCCACCCTACCCCTGGGGGTCATGATTTGAACAAACTTGAATCTACACTACCTGAGGATGCTTCCACATAAATATGACCAATCATAGCTTTGCTATTCTTGAGAAGAAGATTTTTGAAGATTTTTCCTATACACACCTATGTTAAACTTTGATCGTTCATTGTGGCCCCACCCTTCCCCTGGGGGTCATGATTTGAACAAACTTGAATCTACACCACCTGAGGATGCTTCCACATAAATATGACCAATCATAGCTTTGCTATTCTTGAGAAGAAGATTTTTGAAGATTTTTCCTATATACACCTAGGTTAAACTTTGATCGTCCATTGTGGCCCCACCCTACCCCTGGGGGTCATGATTTGAATAAACTTGAATCTACACTAACTGAGGATGCTTCCATGTAAATATGACCAATCATAGCTTTGCTGTTCTTGAGAAGAAGATTTTTGAAAATTACTATGTAAAACTTTGATCCTCCATTGTGGCCCCGCCCTACCCCTGGGGGTCATGATTTGAAAAAACTTGAATCTACACCACCTGAGGATGCTTCCACATAAATATGACCAATCATAGCTTTGCTGTTCTAGAGAAGAAGAATTTTGAAGATTTTTCCTATATACACCTAGGTTAAACTTTGATCGTCCATTGTGGCCCCACTCTACCCCTGGGGGTCATGACTTGAACAAACTTGAATCTACACTAACTGAGGATGCTTCCATGTAAATATGACCAATCATAGCTTTGCTGTTCTTGAGAAGAAGATTTTTGAAGATTTTTCCTATACCCCAGGGGTCATGATTTGAACAAATTTGAATCTACACCACCTGAGGATGCTTCCACATAAATATTACCAATCATTGCTTTGCTGTTCTTGAGAAAAAGATTTTTGAAGATTTTTCCTGAATACACCTATGTTAAACTTTGATCGTCCATTGTGGCCCCATCCTACCCCTGGGGGTCATGATTTGAACAAACTTGAATCTACACTAACTGAGGATGCTTCCATATAAATATGACCAATCATAGCTTTGCTGTTCTTGAGAAGAAGATTTTTGAAGATTTTTCCTATATATTCCTATGTAAAACTTTGATCGTCTATTGTGGCCCCACCCTATCCCCGGGGGTCATGATTTGAACAAACTTGAATCTACACTACCTGACACACCCCTACTAATGTTATTGTGATTTAAATTCAAGGCACGTGGTGTAGGTTGACCCATTCAAAGGTTAAAGGGTAGAACCGGTTTTAAAAATAAAATTGGCAGTAAACAGGAAATTGCTATAATCTGTTTCTTTTAAAAACTTTCTGAAAGATTTTCAAGATTTTAAACAGAAATGGGTGAGATTTAAAAAATCACAATCTACTTAATTAATCTTCGCTTTTGTGATAATTTACGGCGAATATTGGAGCTTAGTAGTGTTAATTTTTCCAAAATCGCCCGATACACCGGTAAAAAAAAATTAATGTATGATAAACCTTTGTTTACCTTATATGGCTTTTGTTATTAATACGCACAGAGGATCTTACCACCAACAATTGACCAATCATTGCATGAATAGCAACGTTAACTTGACACTTATATGTTTACATTTTACTTCGAACACGTGGTTCAACTCAATCTACGATCGATATTGAATGGATTGCAAAAAATAAACCAATTAAAAAATCTATTTATATGAGAAAATACAAAGAACAGAAACTATGAAAGATGCCACGGGCGTTTGTAATTTGTTGTTACGTTGTTAACTAGTAAATGCATATAAAAATGTAGTCTGTACACGTTCATAGCTAGCGCTTCAAGGTTAAGGAAACGAGCAGCATTTCTTACAGTTAAAAGGACAACAAAGTTTTTTTTTTTCAAATTACAATACCCGTGATCATCTGTGCTTTTTGGTCAGGGAACCCACCTGACAATTGTATTCACTGATAGTACAACAAAGGAATACAGACGAAAATCACCTTACAGTATGACTGATAAACCTAGAATTCCATGTTTATTTAACATGTTACTAATGAATTGTATGCAATTGTGAGCATGGAAATAATAGAATAAAAATGGAAAGCACGAAAATGCATCCAAATGCATGGGGAAAAAAATGTTCTGTGTGCCTTTCCGATCGCTTTGTTTTTATTTTTCAAGCGTAAAATTCCTGTAGTATCCGTAGTAACCCACAATGCAATTCAACTCATTCAGATTAAGCT